TCAGAAGAAATTAAATAATAGAGACCAGTTTCTATAAATGTTTAAGGAATAAAATAACAGGGAAGTATTATAATCAGTTTTATCTCAATAAAATTGATAACTTACAGGGAAGGATACAGATCCTTTGGGTCTTGCTTTTCGCCTTTGTTAGGAAGAACCAGAGGAGCATTAATTCTCAGACTAATTGTGTCCACTCCTGAGGCAACCAGACGAGCATTAATTCTTAGACTAATTTTGTCCAAAACCCTTGGATATATACGGTTTTTGTTTGTCAATTGAATATTTCAAAATAAAAGAAATACTAAGCTCACAAAGACTTACCAAATCTGGATCTCAATTGAGGCCAAACCCTTTTCAGTACTTTACCTGATGCCTGGTGAATTAGAAGGTTTTTTGTTCTTGCCAATGGAGGTAGGAACGATTCTCAGCATAGTATGAACTTTGGGGGTTGTTCCCTACAGTCCTTTCCCTAACCTGTGCTAATCCCTAGATGATTCTTTCTCTAGCCTATGCTAATCAGTACTCAACTAGAGACTTGAAGAGACCCGAACACTCTGTTCTCTCTGGTATTTTCCCTTTGAACTCAAGCTGGCTTGGGCTTCCAAGCCCCCTAGCCTTGTCAAACCTGGGAGACCCCCAGGCTCCACATGCATTGCCTCTATCTGCAGCCTGGAAACTCTCCCAGCAGTATACTGGGCCATTGTAGGCCTCATCACTTATTCCCATCACTCAAGGATCACTATCTTTCATTGCCTCCTGTCCAGTATTTGGAAAGCTGCTGTTTTGTATAGTTTGTGTGGTCTGCTTGTTGCTCCTAGAGGGCAAATTGAATCCCTGTTACTCCATCTTTTCTAGAAGTGGAACTTCATGTGGCCATTTAAGTGTCTTTGACCCCAAAACTGGTCATTATCCCCATGTAACAGGTGAGGGCCAAAGTAAATGGCCAAAGGTCAGAACCGAAATCTGCCAAACCCCAAATGGGCACTCTCATGGATGCCATGCAGAGCATGTCTCAGAAGCCTTCTCCTGCCAAGTGAAGTACCATCCAGAGTGGAATGGCTTTCTGGTGAGAGCTGTCTTTAGGCAGAATCCTGTGAACGCAGCCAAGAATTAGAAGTCCTCAGCTCTGAGGCCTGTGCTTCTCCCTCCACAGCAGTCAAGATTTCATATGCATTTGTGGGTGGAGGGTTTCTCTGAAAGGTTAGATCTGGGTTAGAAGGACCCAGCATAACTTCAACATAGAGCAAAAGCTCCAAAGACCCCAGAAGTTGCTTTCTGCCCACAGTGTGGACTGTTTGTGGAGAGCAGTGTAGTAGCAGTGTGGCAGTCACCATGCAACAAGAAAGAAGATGTCTGTGGTGTGTCTCAATGCCGTGTTGGGCTTGAGCATGTGAAGTTCACGTGCAGGCCCTAACTGGATCGCAGCACAGTTTTGCTTATCTATGACCAGCCTATAGAACTCAGTTCTGCTAATGCAGGCACCTCAGTGTTCTCAAGAGTGTGGAAAATAGCACCTCAATTCCTCCCTGGTTCGAAAAGATAGAGAAATGTGGGTAACTCCAGACTTTCTGATGAGGAAATAGATCCTTCTGCTTTAAGGCACCAGAGGCTGTCTGAAACAGCAGACCCACGAGACATCCCCTAGGACATCTCTTCATCACGGGGTGTGGCTGCTTTGCATTTTTTTCTGTATGTGTGTGCAATGAAAAATCCAGATTTTCTGTAACAGTTTGTGTTACATTTGTAATCACAAAGACACACATGTTTAGCACAGTTAGTGTCCATGTGGAGTGACCAGGGCCACTCTTGCCTGGCTAGTGGTTGTGGAAACAAGGGAGCTTGTGCTGGCAACATGTGCTCAGGGCCAGGCTGTCAGCCCTCCCCAGGACCTTTCAGCTTCAGAGTGCTCCCCTGTAGGATGGCCTCCCTCACATTCTGAGTGGGTAAATTCACAATGGCCTCCTCAGCTCTGAGGCCTGTGCTTCTCCCTAGGCTCTGCTGCATCTTGCAGGTGAGTTAACACAGACATGCCCACAGGCTGCTGCTGCTAGTCAAGGGAGGAGAGGAGAGGAGACTCGATAAGGAGAGTGGAAGACAGAATGCCATGAAGACCCTGGGCAGGTGTTTTTTGCTCCTCAGAAAGGAGTAATTTATTCTAATTAAGGGGCTGAAGGAGGACTTCCTGGAGGAGGTAGCATTGGACCAGGCCTTTCACTGTCCCAAGAAATGCTGACTTTTCTGTAAAGGATAATTTCGGTAATTCTCTGGTTTCAATGTCTGACATTTTACCCTGGAAACTTCAGTCACTGAAACTGAGCTTGATCAGTTTCCGGCAGATCCTATCCCCACATTTTATGTTGGCGTAAGTGAAAATTCAAAGCTAGGAAAGAGGACTCTCACAGGGCCTTCACTTCGTAGACAGACAGTGTGTCTTCTGCTTATGGAGGCCGGATGCTGTCTTCCCAGCCTTGGTTCCCTCCGTGTACAGTGAGGGTGGACCTCGGGGATCACTGAGAGCAGATCTCCCAGGAGCAGGACCAGCTGTGCCCACTGCAGCCTCATAGCTTCACTGTTGGCGCGAGCTCTCTTTACCTTTTTTTTTTTGAGACGGAATTTTGCTCTTGTCGCCCAGGCTGGAGTGCAATGGCGCAATCTTGGCTCACCGCAACCTCTCCCTCCCGGGTTCAAGTGATTCTCCTGCCTCAGCCTCCTAAATAGCTGGGATTACAGGTGTGTGCCACCACGCCTGGCTAATTTTGTATTTTTAGTAGAGATGGGGTTTCTCCATGTTGATCAGGCTGGTCTCGAACTCCTGACCTCAGGTGATCCACCCGCCTCAGCCTCCCAAAATGCTGGGATTACAGGCGGGAGCCACTGTGCCTGGCCCTCCTTACCTTTTAAAGTGGCATCCCCATCTTGCTTCCTGTCTGAAACACTGGACACAACCCTGCCTTCAACTACTATGTTGACTCATCCTAAGAAATGAAGAACTACCAAGCATTTCAGCACAGCAAGACTTTCAGCTCAGAAGCTCATTAGGAGTAAAGACTTCATTGTCAGAAACAGAGCCAGCCTCTACATTCACCACCGCCGGCTTCAGCATTTCTGTAGGGGGTGGATGTTGGATAGTCCTGGTATATTAGAGCTGATTTGCCATGCAGCTCGTGAACTCCGATTCCCCCAGCTATGACATCACCACAGCCTCATTTACACCACGGGGCCATGAATGGGACAAACACATCATGAGGGCTGTGGTCTGCCTTTTTATTTCTTGGAAAGAGAAATGCAACAAGATGCTAAGTATTTTATAGAAACCACACATGCATGTGTGCATGCACACACAAACACACATACTTTACAGACACACATACACACACACACACACACCACTCATGGACTTCCCAGGGCAGGGTGGAACATGTGCATACCTGCATCCACACATTGTAACTACAGCATTTGAAGGTTTATTCTCTCATTTTCTAATTAGAGTCAGGGATAACATTTTTAATTCATTTAATTGTTCAAATTTAAAATTAAGATTTCTCTTTAATGTAGTAGAATAATGTAAATCACATTTCTCATCATGAAGCCTTAATGAAATGCATTTTTGATCTAAAAAGAGCTTTTCATCTGTTCTATGCTAAAAGGGAAGTGGAGCTGATTGGAGCAGCAGGCAGCAGGGGCCTGCATAAGAGGCCTGGGGTTAGGGGATGGCATTGGCAGGACTTGGTGGGTCTGAAGTGCTGAACTGGGTGCTGGGTGAACAAGGACGCTGGCTTGGAGGCCCTGGTGTTCAGCTTAAGAACACCTGCACCACACTCAGCCTGCCCCATGCTGTAAACAGTGCTTGTAAAGTCTGTGCGCTGGCTGGAAAAATAATTAGTGAGAAGCAGGCATGTGTTCATGACATGTGGTCCCAGAGGTGGCCGCACAAAGCTCAGTGGGAGCTGAGACCTCTCTCCATGCCTCACCCTCCTATCAAGCTGGTCATTTTCGTGCATGACCATGGTCCTACGGTTTGAGAAGAACGCAGAGCTAGGAGCTGGCACTAGAGGGACCCTGGTAGTCTCAGGTTCTGTGCTCACTGCAGCCGCTGAATTGATAGAAAAAAGCTGCACAAAATAAAACAATGGTCATTCTGTGTTTAAAGTACAGTCTTTTGAGCACAGAGCAGGGACAGCCAGTTGAATACCAGCTCATGGTGAGAGGCCTGGGGAGTTTGCTGGGAGCCCTACATTTGGCTAAAGCCTTGCCCAGTGCCCTGCCTAGGAGAGGCCTTAGCCACAGCCCAGCTTGCCTGGACATCCAGGCAGAGAGGGACCTTCAAACCAGTCACCAGTAAGAGGAGTGACCAAAGAAACTGAAAGTAGGACGTAAGGTGAGGCCTTTTCAGTCCTCCCATCCTGGTACAGCTGGTCTCTGGAGCACACTGAGGACAGAACCAGGGCCTCTGGACAAAAGATCCAGGGAGGGAGATTTTCATTCAACATATGTTGTCCAGCGGCTTGAGAGTTTGAGGCTGGATGAAGCTGACATGTACGGTAGTGAGTCCGCCATCTCTGTGAGGTGTTCAAGGAAATGCAGATAACTGCTCAAGGAGATGAGGTAGACTGGATTCATTAATTACTTTAGAGGTAAGATTACCTCTAAAAATGCTTCTTGGAATACTGATATTTGAGGGAAATATCAAAGCAGCCTCCCCAGCAGCCAGAGGGAGAGCCGCGGACAAGGTGGAGAACATGTGGTGGTCATGCACCTCTGCTGGGGGATGGGAGGGTGGGAGGCTGGTAGTTGATAGGGGCACATCAGGGACCTAACTACATGGGAGGGAAGGAGAGTGGAAAAATGGGAAATATTCCAGAGTTCAGCCCTGTAGAATTGCTGCCTACTCCTGGCACTCTGAGTTGGGCTAGGTTGCGCTGCAGTTGCAGGCCTCCTGAGGGTGTCAGTAGTGTTCATCAGAGAGGGCGAGTCCTCTTCTCACTACATGTCTGGTGCAGTTCAGCGAGAGGATCATGTCATCGTTGTCCTCCAAGAGTCAGGCCCGTGGACACTGGAGCTTCCTCAGTCCCGCAGTACAGAAGGGGGGCTGTGAAGTCAAGGCTGGCCACGGAGGGTCCAGCCGGAAGCCCCCCTTGGTCTCCCTGGTCTTCAGGGGCTGGGTCTGCACAATCCTCTTTGTCCCTGAAAGTCAGTGGTGAGCATTAGAGACTTCTACCCCAGAGCCCTGCAGGGAGGAGAGAAACCACTGGCATCCATTCCAGGGAGACTCACTGGGTCAGGGCATGCAGCTCTACCCCTCTGGTGTTTCTGCCCGCTTGACGACAGTTATGGGACCACTCTGGACACATGCACCTTGCCCAGCCTGCCCAGCGCGGGCCACCCTGAATCTCAGGATTCATCCATCCTTGGAGCAGTGACACCATGCAGAGACGTGCATCACCTCTTACTTGCTTGCTCTGATCTTCCTGTGTCCCGGTGGCATGGGTCACAGAGTACCTCTTGCTTAAGGGAAAACTAAGTGTCAAAGAAGCTGAACATAAAGCATTTCAGCCCCAAAGTTAGAGACTAAGTTCCTCTAACCTGGGGGCTGAAGACTATTGTCTTAGCTGCTGCTATGCTTGGAGAAGTTCCTTTCCCTTTGCACTTTCCCAAAAGGAGATATTTGTGGACCCTGGGATGCCCGCAAAGAGGGGTGTGTGCACCTCAGGACACTGGATGGTTCAGTGAGGTTTGGGGAGAGGGCATCAAAATCACTACTTATACTGATTGTATCTGAGAATTAAGAAATGTTCTTTCCTGATGTTGAAGAATGAACTGGCAGTGCTGACCTGACACTGGCCAGATGCCCTGTGTCACTTGCAGGAGGGAGGCAGGGACATCACTTCCGAGACGGAATGAGGACAGGACCACCCTCCCTTGGCTGTTCCCTTATAGGAAACACGTTATTGATTCCAGGTTCTGGGGTTACTGGTCTTGTTAGTTAGATAGAAGACTCTGTCAGGATGACTGTGGGAGTCACTCATAGCACATGTCGGCACACGGGGAGTTGCCAAGTTATGCTGTTTGTTATTTTGTTCTCTTTTCCAAATGACAAGCAGTGTAGGCTGTGAACTCTCTGAGGCATCATGTAACTATCACTAGAGACATCCTGGTCAGTGATTTCTGAAACAGAAGGACACTTGAGAAGGGAAATGCCTTTTGAAAGAAACTGCCATAAAGAGAACATTCTGAATATGGAGGTTGGATGGACACGTGATTTTGTTGACAGGAATAATGTGTGGTGCCCACTACTCTTTCTTAAAAATAGAGTTTCCTGGTGGGAAAATATTATAGACTGAGAATTTCCGTGGATTTTCATCACATTTGTTAAAATATATAACAATACAATTTGTGCTTGGTTCATGAAAATGAGTGGCACAGGGAAAGATGGATGTTTCCCAGTCAAATTTCAACAAAGACCTTTGCATTTGTGGATGGATTAAGAGATATATGACAATTTCGGAAGGACAGCAGCTCTGACAGCCCATTAATCCAAATGTGGAAATAAGCAGAATGTAGACGCAAATTTTTAATTCACAGTGCCATAAACTTAGGTTATGGTTTTTAATCAAAGCATATTCAGTTACATTGTTTTCACTAAAGTACTATTACCGTTAACAATGGTATTTTGGAGAGAGCAGAAATTTTTGTGCCACTAATAAATAAAACAAAGCTATTATTTAAGAAAATATTCTTTACTTTCTGTTTATGTCACCCTTTACAAACCTTTCTTTTGTGTATATTGGAGCCTGATGTGTTAACACGTAATTAATAATGAGGGTCCTATAGAGAGGTGTTTGTCCAGAATGTCATTATTGATGGGAACTTGAGTTGAAAGCAGCGCCGGAGACCATCTGAGGCTGGAAATTGAAGATTTCTGACCTTTGAGCATGACCCAGCATAAGTCAGCACCATGCCCAGATAGCCGCTGCGTGGGCAGAGCCCGGCTCCAGCCCATCTGGGCAGCCAGACTGCAGCTCTGGTCTGACCGGGAAGGTTATGGTCCCTGGGTTTCTTTTTTCTTCATCTGCTTCTTCCTTATCTGGTCTACGCTCCTTGAGGGACAGGAAGAAACAGCTGGCGCCGTCTGTCTCCATGGGTCACCCTGATTCACTGGCATTGTCTTCCCAGAACACACTTGCACCAGGCCTGCCCTGCATGGCCTGCCTGGCTTCACACACACCCCCATCCTCGTACCTGGCCCTCAAGGCTCGGGGCCTCCTCACCTCTATCCTTGGAAGCTGGTGGAATCATTGTGTGCAGTCTAGTGGCATGTTCTTGGCCAACTTAACTCTGATAATATCAGTACTGCAAAAAGCAGCTGTGCTTTTTAGGCTTACTGTGGGGCGTGCTGTCCCCTCATCCCTTGTTAAATACAACCCTACAAGTATTTCCTCTAAAAGTGGGTGTGTTACACCCATTTTACAACAAGGAAACCATGGCACAGTGAAGCTGCATCTGCTGGCCGGGTCACCAGTCACCTAGGGGCACATGAACCAGGGGAGCTGGCCTCCAAACCATGGCTTGCAGTGGCCAGGCCATGGGCCGCTCCACAAGGGCAGTCATTGCACAGTTTTTACTACATTCAAGAGTTTGATGCCTCCATAAGTGCTAACACATACTTAGAATATTCCCCAAGCTTCACTCCTTACAGCAGTTGGGTTTTGTGTGAGGGAAAACAGGGACCCCAGTGGCTTCTGCCTCCTAGGGCTGCGTTGTGCCCTGCCAAGAGCACTTCTTGAGCCCTCACAGTGGTCCATGAATGGGGCCTTTGTTGTCGGCTTAATCAGTCTCTGCAGGGTCCTACAGCTAGCAGTAAGTGGGCTGGGACTCACCCGCTCCTGCCATCTGCTCTGCTGTGTCCCCATGGTGGGACCCTTGGGGTCTTTACTCCTTGCCCCAGGGGGCTGGAAGTCAGCGCTCAGATGAGCTCATTGGCCCTGGATCTGCCCCTGCCCCGGGTCCCTGCAGGGTTCTACTTGTCTCAGTGCCCAGAGGGATGTGGGCTCTAGTGAAGACCAGCGAGATTCCAGAGGGAACAGGAGCCTTAGGAAGGTATCTGCCCTACCTGGGCATGAGGCATTCTAGGACAAGTGCCCTGAGGGGCACATTGGGAGCTACCTGGGGGCTGGTGGAGCCTGTGGATGGGCACATACCTGAGAAAGAGTTGCTGTAGCATCTGGTCCCTAGGAAGTAGCGGAGGGCAGGGCAGACCCCGGAAATGAGGTGAAGCCGTAGTTTGTCCTTTGGACATTCTAGCAGATGAGGTGGTGACTTAGGCAGACATCAACAGATCTTCCCCACCCAATAACATGGATCTAGTCTTGCATCCAGTGGGGAGGAGGGACAGGAGCATGTGTGTAGACCATCAGCACACCTGGAGTCCAGTTTGGATGTTTAGAAAGAAGCGTGCAGTGGGAACAAGTGAAGGCAGCATGAGTGGATGGGACTAACCGAGGCTCATGATGCCCCAGGCAGAGGAGGAGCGAGAGGACATGGAGAAGGTGAAGCTGGACAACAGGCGCATCCTCTTCAACCTCCTGCCAGCCCACGTCGCCCAGCACTTCCTCATGTCCAACCCTCGGAACATGGTGAGCACCCAGCCTGCGCCTGGCCAGCACTAGCCCGGCACTACTCCCGCCACGCCCTCGACGCTTGCCTGGCTCACCCTTCCTGACCCATCCTTTGAACTTCCAGGACCTCTACTACCAGTCCTACTCCCAGGTGGGCGTCATGTTTGCCTCCATCCCCAACTTTAATGACTTCTATATCGAGCTGGACGGCAACAATATGGGGGTGGAGTGTCTGCGGCTTCTCAACGAGATCATTGCCGACTTTGACGAGGTGAGGCCCTGCATCGCCATCCTGACCCCACCTGGGTGTGCTGGTGCATCCTACTGACGGGTGACCAGGATACCCCTTCACCTAATTAAATCCTGCGTGTCTCACAATATGTCACATTCTTTGTAGCTGGAATGAGAGAAAGCAAATCCCAGGAAGAACAGGCATTCTGTCTCCTTTGGGATCCAGACCAACTCTCACAGGAGAGAAGGGGGGTCTTGACCCTAGGATGGGGGACCAGGGCGACCGGGTGGGGCTGGGTGCTTGTCCTCCATGTTGTGAATGTCAGGGCTGGGACATTACAGTGGCCAGGGCTGGGCAGCCTCATCTACAGATGGGCAGGCAGGCGGGCACCCTTGTCTACAGATGGGCAGGCAGGCGGGCACCCTTGTCTACAGATGAGCAGGCAGGTGGGTGTCTCCAGGCCCCCACCACAGCCAGCCAGGCACTGTGGCAGCCCCACCACCCCTTGTCATTGGACCCGATTCTCCTGGTGGCTGCGAGCTCACCTGTTGGGGACAGGAATGTGTCCTGTACCATCCTTACTCACCTCTTCTTGCCAGCGTAGTCCTAGAACTTATCTGCCCAAAGCAAAGAAGACACATTGCTTTCCTGAATGTGTTCACTGGCTCTGCTGTTCCTCCTGGTGGCTGATGGCTGCAGTAACTTTTCTCAAATGTTATGTCATGTTTAACAGTTTTATGTTTTAAACAAAGCTCATGGAAAAAGACTTTTACAAGGATATAGAGAAGATCAAGACCATTGGGAGCACCTACATGGCCGCTGTGGGGCTAGCGCCTACCTCGGGGACCAAGGTGAGTATAGCTTGGGGCTGCCTGCTTGGGGACTGGGTCCCAGCCCTGCCCTAAACTGCTTTGGGACCCTGGGTAGGTTCCACAGTGGGGTTTGTTTTCCCTCTCTGTTGTATTATGGGAGCAGCTTGAGTGCTGTTTTTGTCTGTGGCTGGTTCTCTCCATGGCTGGTTCTCTCCAGACACAATCTCCTAGGGAAAGTCAGCACAGAAGGCTGCTCACCGGAGCTTCCTCCAGCCCCAGCACTGCCCTGCTAGACACCTCCCCCAAGAGCCCTCACCCTGCCTCTCTGCTCCATTACCCTCCCCACTGGCCCACCTCCTCAGCAGCCCAGTCCCTCCCCCACCAGCCCCCACCTTCCTCCCTAGGTGCCCCCTCTCTTCTTCTCCCGTCAGCCCTGCACTCTCCTTTTCCACAGTAGAACTGTGAATAAGTACAAATAATTATTCTGAATAGATCTAGACTTATTAAAGAAGTTGAATCGATAATTAATAATCTTCTGAAACAGAAAGCACCAGACCCAGATGCATACGCTGGTGAATTCTACCAAACATTTAAGGAAGAAATTACACCAGGTCTCTACAATCTCTTCCAGAAGACAGAAGCAGAAGGAACATTTTCTAACTCGTTCTGTAGGCCAGCATTACCTGAATACCAGACCCAGATGAAGACATTATAGAAAAAGAAAATTACAGACCAGTATTTCTCATGAATATAAATGTATAACCCCCCAACAAATATTAGCACATTGAATTCAGTAATGAATGAAAAGAATTATATACTAAAACCACATTGGATTTTTTCCAGATATACAAGGCTGTTTTAGTATTCCAAAATGAATTCATGAAATTCATCAAATCAACAGGATAAAGAAGAAAAATTATATAATCATATAAATTGATGCAGAACAATTATTTAAGTCTAACACCCATTCCTGGTTTAAAAAAAAAAAAAAAAAAACTCTCAGTAAACTGGCAATAGAAGACAACTTCCTCAGTGATTTTTAAAAATTTGCAAAATATCCACAGCTTAACATACCTAATGGAGGGAAACTAAATGCTTTCTAAGATGAGAACGTAGCAAGAATATCCTTTCTCACCATTTCTATTCAGCGTTTTACTGGAAGGCAGTAAGACAAGAAAGAAAATTGAAGGCATACGGACTGGGAAGGAATCTGCTTGCAGATGACATGACTGTATATGTAGAAAATCCAAAAGAATTAATAACAAGAGTAACAGAAAAAAGCCCCTGGAACTGTAGCAGGACAAGCCACAGATAAAACCCCTCAGACACGGAGTTAAAGAAGGAAGGGGCTTTATTCAGCTGGAGCTTTGGCAAGACTCATGTTTCCAACAACCAAGCTCCCTGAGTGAGCAATTCCTATCCCTTTTAAGGACTCACAACTCTAAGGGGGTCCGCATGAGAGGGTTGTGATCGGTTGAGCAAGCAGGGGGTACGTGACTGGGGGCTGCATGCACTGGTAATTAGAATGGAACAGAACAGGCCAGGGATTTGGATAGTGCTTTTCTATACAATGTCTGTAATCTATAAATAACATAACTGATTAGGTCAGGGGTTGATCGTTAACTACTAGGCCAAGGGTGTGGCGCCCGGCTATCTGCTTGTGGATTTTATTTCTGCCTTTTAGTTTTTACTTCCTTCTTTGGAGGCAGAAATTGGGCATAAGACAATATGAGGGGTGGTCTCCTCCCTTAGAACTAAGAAGCAATTATAGTAAGGTTCCAGGATATAAAGTTAATATATAAAAGTTCATTGTTTCTCTATATGCCAGCAATGAACAATTGGAATGTGTAGTTACAAACAAAATGCCATTTATATCAGTAGCCAAAAAATGAAATACTAGATATAACTCTAACAAACTATGTACAAGATCTATATGAGCAAAACTGTAAAATTCTGGTGGAAGAAATGAAAGATCTAAGTAACTGGGGAGTCACTGTTCCTGCATAGGAAAAGATAGTATTGTTAAGATGGCAGTTCTTCGCAATTGGATTTGTAGATTTAACACAAGTCCAATCAGAACTCCACCATGATATTTTGTGACGTTGACAAAATGATCCCAAGTTTATATGGAAAGTAAAAAGATGCAGAATAATCAACACAATATTGAAGTGGAAGAACAAAGCTGGAGGACTGGCACTACCCAACTTCAAGACTTAAAAAGCTATAGTAATCAAGACAGTGTGGTACTGGCAAAAGAACAGGCAAATAGATGAGTGCAACAGACTAGGGAGCCCAGAAATAGACCCATAGAAATATAGTCAGCTGGTTTTTGACAAAGGAGCGGAGGCAGTACTGTGGAGAAAAGACAGTCTCTTCAACAAACAGTGCTGAAACAACTGGACATCCACATGCAAAATATATATATACCTATATATATATAGATAGATGCAGACTTTACACTCCTCACAAAAATTAACTCAAAATCGATAATAAGCCTAAATGTAAAATGCAAAACTACAAAACTTTTAGAAGATAACATAGGAGAAAAATCTAGATGACCTTCAGTTTGGCAATGACTTTTTAAATACAACACCAAAAGCATGATTCATGAAAGAAAAAATTGGTAAGTTGGACTTCATGAAAATTAAAAACTCCTACTCTATGAAAAATATTGTTAAGAGAATGAAAAGTCAAGTCACAGATTAGGAGAAAATCTTTGCAAACCGCCTATCTGATAAAGGACTTGTATCTATAGTACACAAAGAGCCATTACAATTCAACAAGAGAGAGAGAAAAAAACCAACAGTTAAAAAGTCAGCAAACAATTCAAACAGGCACCTCACCAAAAGAGATGCAGATGACAGGCATATGAAAGGATGCTCAGCAGCATGTTTTTAGGGATTTGCAAAGGAAAACAACAACAAAATACCACTAGATACCTGTTAGAAGGGCTGAAATCCAAAACACTGACAAGACAAATGCCGGTGGGGATGTGAAGCAACGGAAACTCTCCTTCATTGCTGGCGGGAATGCAATATAGGGCAGCCACTGCGGGAGAGAGTTGGATGGTTTCTCGCAAAGTTAGACATAATGTTACCATATGATCCAGCAATTGCACTTTTGGTATATATCCAAATGAAATGAGAATTTATGTCCATGAGTACTCATAACAGTTTTATTCATAATAAAAACTGGAAGCAAACCAGGTATCCTTCAGTAGGTGAATGGATAAAGAAATTCTGGTATATCCATAAGGTAGAATATTATTAAGTGAGAAGAAATGACCTATTAAGTTATGAAAAGACATGGAGAAACCTTAAATACACTTGGCTACTTAAAATAAATCAGTCTGAAAAGGTTACATATGGTATGATTCCAGCTATATGAAATTCTGGAAAAGGCAAAACGGTAGAGACAGTAAAAGGATTAGTGGTTGCTGGGGTCAGGGGAGACGCAGGATGAACAGACAGCAGGGAGAATTTTCAGGGCAGTCAAACTGTTGTATGTAATACTGTCATAGCGGATACATGTCATGCATTTAGAATGCATAGAATGGACAATACCAAGAGTGAACCCTAATTAAATTATGTACTTTGGTTAATAATATATCAATATTGCTTCATCAGTTGTAACAAATGTGTCACACTTACGTAAGATGTTAACAACAGGGGAAACTGGGGAGAAGGGATATATGACAATTCTGTATAATCTGCTCAACTTACCTATAAACCTAAAATTGCCCTAAAAATAAAATCTGTCAATTTTTAAAAAGCATTAGTTTCCTGATTGTGAAGACTAATACAATTCCCTTTAAAAATAAAAGTTAGAGACTTTACAACTGTTACTGTTTCACAAGAGAAAGGACCTTGTCACACATGTACAGGAGGATATAGCCTCAATCTCAAGGAAGGAAGCTGCCTACTCCCTGGCATGCGTCTCTGTCCTTGTTTTGCTCATTTGCAATGGGCATTAGCAACGCTGTCCAAGCAGGAGAGTGAGCACCTGGTCTCCCACTCAAAAGGGCTGCCCCACCCCATTCCTGCAGGCAGCCTTGGGTGGGCCCTGTCTCTGCCCCTCAGAAGCTGGGGCTTGGCCAATACCTTGCCTCTCCCTTAGTCTCCTCCCTGTAGAATGGAATGATAAATGTGCCCATAGCCAGGCACCAAGAATGCCTGCCCCTGAGAGTGCGGCTGTTGGCCATTGCAGGTTGGTCCTTGGCTCCCTCTTGCCTAGTGCCCCTCAGATGTAATGACCCTGTCTGTTTATATCTAGGCTAAGAAGTCCATCTCCTCCCACCTGAGCACGCTGGCAGACTTTGCCATTGAGATGTTTGACGTTCTGGATGAAATCAACTACCAGTCTTACAATGACTTTGTCCTCCGAGTTGGTACGTGACTTTAAACCTATCCTGTCCATCCATGTGGAACACCTTCCTATACCCACCTAGGGGCGGGATCAGCTGATGAGGTGCCCTGGTCTTACAGGAAGGAGGGTGGTGCTGCCCAGGAGGGCATGGGGACCTGTGTACGGAGTTGCCCCTGGAAGCTGCTGGTGGAAGTGGAGATGCTTCAGAAAGTAACTTAGGACTTTGAAGATTCATCGTCTGGCTCAGGAAACACATTAGAAATCTTGATTATCCTGGAGACGTTCAGATGCTCCTCCAAGTCCACACTTAGCTGAAGTAAAATGCCCCTTTCCCTGTTCACCAGCCACAGCTAAATAGTTGAGGCCACATGGGCTGTCCAGAAAGAGGCCTTGATGGGAGCCCCACTGCGTGGACTCCGGCCGCCCTGTGTCTTCTCCGGGCTCCTTCCCTCACCTGTGTCGTGAGGAAGAAAAACCACTGGATGCCCCAGTTCCTTTCTAGCTTTTATAAAACTATGATTTGTTGGGTTTTTTTAAAATCATAAATTTACTTTTTCTTGAGATGTAGACAGTTTACGAGAAAAATTCTACTAGTCCAGGATACAGTTAAACTAGAGGTTCATGGTTGTTTTAGAATTCAAACATCCAGTAGCCTTAAAAACAAACCTTGGAGCCACGTGTGAGTGTGAAGGGTGGTGGGTGATCCACTTAGAGCACATGGAATTCTGATGTCCTGAAAAGCAAGCTCGGCTTCAGGCATGGTGTCTGGCCAGAGAGCAGGGGCAGAGTGAGCCAGCTGGGCCCTGGGCTCTGGTCAGCAGAGCTACTGATGTACCTGGAAATCGATCTGCTGGTGAATCGGGGAAACTCTGCTCCTCACTTTCCAATGACAGGACCGGCTGGCAAGCCCGGCCCTGCACCTCAGTGTCTAGTCATGCAGTGGGGCTGGACAAGGATCTCTCGGGGCCCTTCTGCCCATCAGGCTGGTGCTAGCCTGGTGTTCTTTATGTGGGTGGGGCATCTGGGGTTAGCAGAGGGTGCTCGCCAACTCCCACCAGCTCCAGCCATCTGGGAAACGGCCCTTTGGGGTTCTTCTCTGAGTTTCCCATGCCCACCTTCCCCAGCTCACACCACTGTGCCCCCGGCTCTCATGCTCCTCCATGGCATGCCAGCTCCCCACTGCCCAGAACGTCAGAGGAATTTTCTAGGACAAGCTCAGAATAATTAGTCCACAAATACAGAAGGGGAAGATAGGAAGTGGCTTCGATCGAGGCCAGAAAGCCCCAGTTGCAGGCGTAACAGGAGAGCTGACAGCAAGCTTGGTCCCTCTCTGTCCTGCCGAGGACGGGCCGGGCGTCACAGGCTGGTATGTGCCCTACTTACAGGGGAGGAAGACCAGGCTCAGAGAGGGTGAGTGCTTTGCAGAAAGTTGCACAAGGAGTGACTCAAGTTCGGGTGTGCCTGGGTTGTTGCAATGCTGTCCAGCTGGTCTGCAGCTGTCCAGAGGCCAGTTGGACACTGAGCTACAAAAAGAGAAGGTACTCCCTCTCCTCCCTTCAGAGCATTCTGCACCATCTTGCATAGTCCTGGGACCCATACTCTAAAATAGCCATAAGGTCACATTCCGAGAACAGGTCCGGAGCCGCTATTTTTCTGCAAGAGGGGATGCAGTTGGGGATACACCTTGTAATCCCAGATACTGAAAGGTCACACTTCTGAGTGGCTCCCCTGGCAGGGCTCAGCACAGAGGCTGCTATTCCAGGAAAGGGGACTTTTCTTCAGGATCAGGACTCGTTTTGAACAGCCAGTGCTGTTCCCCAGTGCAGTGGACAGTGTCGTGAGGGGACCCTGCCCAGGGGAGCCTGTGCAGCAGGGCAGCTGCCTCTCTGTTGTGCTGTATGTGATGCTTCAGGAAGGAGCCTGGTGCTCGGTGACCCCAGGAAACAAAGCCCTGAAAGGAGCAACCTTTTCTCCACCAGGAGCGGCATCAGGTGCATTTGGTGGCCCTGGTGGGGTGAGTTACACTTTTCCCACTGACAGGTCATGCGCTGGCTGTTTTCTAGGCATCAATGTTGGCCCCGTGGTGGCTGGAGTGATTGGCGCTCGCAGGCCCCAGTACGACATCTGGGGAAACACAGTCAACGTGGCCAGTCGGATGGACAGCACAGGGGTCCAGGGCAGAATCCAGGTCAGTTCACCCAGAAACCCACAAGGCATGGGTGCCCATTCTTCAGGTGAGGAAACTGAGGCACAGAGGGCCAGGATTGAATCCCCAGTCTGCAGCCTGTACGTGGCAGGGCAGAAAGAGCTGCATATTTCGGTCTGTCTGCTCTGGAGGGCATCCTGGCCTGGGCATCTTGATTTTGCTGTCTGGTTTGTCATTTAGTCTCGGGGGCTGGCTCCTGAGTGACCAGGTGCAGCGGTGGGAGCACTGAGTCACTGGGTCCCACTTCTGATCCCAGCAGACTGGCGGCTGTCATTCACGCTGCACATCCCAGGACTCCAGCCTCCACCGGCTGCCATGGGAAGGAAGGGCTTCCTTGTGTGTTTGAAGGGAGGGTGCTCTGCGTGTCCACCTCATCTGAGGAACCTGTGGGCAGCTCAGGTGGGCTGACACCCTCTAAAAGCCATGGAAAGGTTTAGAAGGCAGCAGCCTCTGCTTTTCCTCAGTGTGGAGGAGTGTCATTCGGCTTCTGGGATTTCCCTTAGAACAAATTTGAAACTTGATTCGGTCTTGAGGACCACCAGAATGAAGCCCTTACAAGTAAGATGGAGCCTGTGAAGGGCCACACAGCCCTGCAGCCACCCTCCCTGGGAACTGCAGGCCTCCAGGGGCCATGGAGGGAGGGCTTGGCCCCCAGGCGTGTGACAGCAGCTATTCACAGGGGCAGTTTAAGGGACAGGTAGGCCAAAATATTCATGGAGCTCTCCTCTCCTGCTCAGAACATAGACGGGGCTTCCATGGAGCAGCGCTGCACTTCTGCATTCTCTTTTTCAAAATTTCTTTTATCACAGTAAGGTATACATAGAATTTGTCATCTTTTTGCTAGGTGTACGGTTGAGTGGCATTAAGTATATTTACATGGTTGTGCAGCCATCACCACCGTCCACCTCCAGAACTTTATGCTGTATATATACATACACATACACACACACACACACACACACACACACACACACGGGTTTTTTGTTGTTGTTGTTTTGTTTTGTTTTTGTTTTTTACCATGACTGTATCCTGCACTCTTCTGCAGGATTCCCCCAAAACCGGACTTGCCAGGGGAGAACTTCATGGTAGCCCCATCCTGCCCACCCCAGCCTGGCCCCTGCCCTGAACCAACATTGCATTTTTAAGTTTCTAAAATCAGATCTGAGCCTGCCACTGTCCTATCTTGCCCCTGCCTCACGCACAGACTGTTCACTCGTGACCTCTGTCCAATCCCCCGCCAGGTGTCTCCTGGCTGCCCAGGATGTCACCCTTGCACTCACAGGGCCTCTGTCCTGCCTCCCCTGCCACACTGACGGGGGCCACCTTGCCCCACTCTGGGCGTTAGAAGGTGGGCTTGGCATGGATTGAGTTCTTTTAACAAAAGATGCCAGGGCTTGAAGGGACTGTGTGTAGGAGAGTGAGGAGCAGCCAAGGAGACAGCGGGGAGAGGAAATTCCAAGATCACCCCTCCAACATAACGCAGAGATACCAATCGTGTCCTCTATTCACAGGACTGATTGTATCTAGTAGAAACTATTTTCTCATCCTTTATCTTTTTCCTAACTTTGCGAAGCAGAAATTCTTTGAACCTGTCAAGAAATGTCCCTGTTTTCTCTGGACGGTTTGCCCGCTGCCCTCCATATGCTGGTCCCTCCCTCCCCTGACTCAGGGTTGCAGAGGCAGCTGCGCTGGGGTCCTGTGAACTGTATCGTTTGCACCCCCACCGACACCGCGCTACTGCCCCCAGCAGTGAGTTGGAAGTCAGGCTTTGCTCTGGACTCTACTCTTTGCTGCCCCTTCCAGCTGAGGGGTGTACCTTTTGCCCCCTATATTCTGTATGCCCTACTTGTAAATGTCCCTGGCTGCTGAGGTGCCAAGAGCCCTGAACCCAGAGAGTCAACCCTGCTCTTCTCTGTTCTAGCATCTGGAGCTGTGTACCACGCAGCCTCTGGCATGGAGTACACGGAGCCACCATGGAAGCTTACATCCAGACCCTGGTGCCAGGTCCCTGCAAGCCCTGTCCACCTACCTGCCTGTCTGGGCGCTCCCTGGGCCACCCTGTCCGGCTCATTGAACATTGCCTCCTCCTATTGTCCAGGGAACAGGCTGTGAGACTCCCCTGGGGCTGGTCCCTCAGACTCCTCTGAGTCCCCTGGGTTGTCTTTGCAGGGCAGTGTCTTTTTTACATAGTGACCCAAGCGATTTCAGCAAGAGTAGGGGCCCTGGCTGCCAGGCTGAGCTGAGAAAGCCACATCCCCGTGCCAGGGTTGGGCAGTCAGGGTGGACAGCAACAGATGCAGGATGGAATGTTTTGGTCTCTTCCCAGAGGAGTCCCCCTCATTGCCCTGGGGTAATGCTCCCTTCTCTCCATCAACAGGTGACTGAGGAAGTCCACCGGCTGCTGAGAAGATGCCCCTACCACTTTGTGTGCCGAGGCAAAGTCAGTGTCAAGGGCAAAGGCGAGATGTTGACATACTTTCTAGAAGGCAGGACTGATGGAAACGGCTCCCAAATCAGGTCCCTGGGCTTGGATCGGAAAATGGGTCCATATGGGAGAGCTGGCCTTCAGGGCAGACGTCCCCCGGTGTGCCCCATGCCTGGCGTCTCAGTCAGGGCTGGGCTCCCTCCACACTCCCCAGGCCAGTATCTGTCCTCTGCAGCAGCTGGGAAGGAGGCTTAGTGGAGCCCACGCGGGCCTCTGGGGTGCACTTGGGGTGGGAATGCTCCGGGGGCGACACAGGCCACGGTGGCTCCAACCAGGACCAGCCAGACCAGCAGAGCAGGGAGCCAGCGGCCAGGGTGGAGGAGGAGCATTGTCCAGGCGTGGCCTGTGGCCCGAGGACCAACCACCCAGCAGATGCAGCACAGCAGTTACTTGGTGAGGGGGGGACACCCGACTGCACACACTTCCAGGCCTCCCTGGAGAGGTGTCACTCCATCCCTCCCTCCGTGGCGTAGGGAGCACTGTTTCTTTCCAGAAGGCCTGTTCAGGTTTGGCCAGGTCGGCGTCAACGTCAGGACCTTCAGAGCATCCACCAGGGTTACAGCAAGAGCTGCTGAGGTGTGGCTGGCAGAGCGACCGAGGAGCTCTGCAAGAGTGTGCTGTGAGACGGTCCTGTCCAGCCTGCCTAGGTGGGACCTGACATACAGGTGGCTCCAGCCCTGGGCAGAGGCTTCAAGAGCCAGGGTGGAAAGTCAGGCCTCTCTGGGAAGGTCACAAGGCCTGGGGTTGTTCACACCACGGGCACAGTACAGAGCTGTCCACACTTGAACTGGACGGTTTGGGGAGAATTGAGAAACTGCCTCTCACTGCATGGATAGTGGTGGCTGCTGGCTTTCAAGCGTGGATTTTTGCTAAGAGCCAGAGGCAGGTCTTCTGGAGTTCTCAGGGGGCCCTGTGACCCCCTCTCCACAACCATGGCCAGCATCGGCTTCTTGCTGCACCTGTGCACTCTCCACCCCTCCACCAATGGCTTCCAGCTCCTAAAACACCTGGCCATTCCCCATCCTGCACCGGCACTGTGTTTGTTCAGAGAAGACGAAGGGTGTCATTTCTTCCCTTCCCTGTGGCATCTTGGATCCTTTACATTTAGCAACATCAGTGTGAGGCTCCACTTCTGTTGAATATGAGCGGCCCTCACACCGATGATGGAAGATGCTGTTTCTCCAGCAGAACCAACCCTCCAGGACGAAGTTTCAGAATTGGCTGATGTGTGTGAGTGCAGGTGTCCCTGTTGTAATTTGCAGGGAAATTGACTGCAGGTGATAGTGTTGACGTCTGACAGCCTCCCACATGCATGTCTAAATAGTCACAGTGAAGATGAAAATGAGGATGAGGGGGACAGGGGTCCAGGAGGGCCAGTGGGAAGGGACTATCCAGTGGCGTGTAGAAACCTTGGATCTCAGTCACAGGGAGGAAGGTGGCTAGAAGTGGGAGGAAAGCTTCTGGATAGGCACCATAGTAGGGAAACATCTAAAGACCCACTGCTCTGAGGTGTGGTCAGAGAGGTTTCCGTGGACTGCACATGAGGCTTGAACCCCTGCCTCTGCTCAAAGCCAGCAGGGTTGGGGGTCCCCCTCCTCACTGCTCCTCAACAGCTGTAACCCTTTCCTGAGGGCCCCGACTTTTCAGAATAGGAGCAGAGAGAAGCCCAGACTTCCTTCCCTGGAGTGTAGACCCGTGTGTGGGACCTGCTGCAGGCTAATCCCTGTTCGCACAGGTGGGTGATATCCTTGGCTGCTACCATCAGAGGCAGCCCCCTGCACAGGGAGGGCCTGACCCTGCCTCAGCTGTGTGGCCATGTGGGGGTGGCAGGTGCCTGGGCCATAGCTGGGGGAGGCTAGACCCTGGGGGCTTTGCAGGGTGGCCAGTGCAGTGATGCCTGGCACTTCCAACTGAGACAGGAGTCCAGACAGAAGTGGGCAGGGTGGATGATTTTAGGCAGGGGAGGTGGGTAGAGGCTGCATGTAGGGGCCTCCGTCTGCCTGTCCTTAGGGTGTGGACTAGGTGTCTAGACAGGGTTGTAGGGAGTACTGTCCACCCTTCTTTCTCTCTGGTCAGGGCTGTGGCCTCTGTGATGGTGCAAGAGGCAGGATGGTCTTCAGACACCTTCTTGCAGAGTGATTTTGACCAATGCCTTTCCAGCACCTTCCCCTGGCTATGACAGGGAGCTCCCAGGCCAGGCCACATGACCCCACAGGTAGGCTGAGCCCATGGCCCCACTGGAGATTTTGAAGGCAGAGCTCGGGCGCCTTTTACCTTCCTTAGGTGGTCCTCATGTCGCTGCCCACTCACGTTCCTGGTGTTCTGGCATCATCTTGTGCCGCTGGGGGCTGAGCTCCTGTGAGGTCCTGGGGCAGAAGGAGGTGCTTACAGGGCCTCTAGCTGCTATTAGGGCGTCCACAGGACCTTATGTTTATGTGGAATCTCCAGGCTGTCATCGAGGGCTCCTGAGGGCTCCTGAGCTCATCCTGAGGACCCAGGGTCCTTCTGAGCCGGCTGTGGGCTGAGAACCTGGCTGGGGCACTGCTGTCAACCCCTCCTCCAGGCCCTGCCTTGTCCCTGCTCCAGTGCTTTCCCCTCTTCAGGACAAATAGTTTGTCCTTATGGTCCCCTTTCCACTAGGATTTTCTCATCCTCCTCTGTCTATCTCAGCCGGATTTGAAGCAGTCAGTTCAGACAGGAGCCACAGGGAGCCCGTGAGGGTGTAGTGCGGTGGTGGTGAGTGTGGCCACCCTGGCTCCCCCGGCTCATCGTGCTGCTGTCCTTGACCCACAAGCTGTTGAGAAGGGCGCAGAGCCCCTGGCCAGCCAATCCTGTTGCCCCCAGTGCCGCTGCCCACCTTTGGCCATCCAGGTGGTGGGTAGACAAGAGGTGTGAACCCTAAGGGTGTCCATGCCCCAGTTCTAAGCCCTGGGGCCGGGTGCTGTCACACAGCAAAGGGGACTTTGCAGGTGGAATTACAGTCAGGGATCTAAGGATGGGAGGGGAACTTGGATTATCTGGGTGGGCTCAGTGGCCCCTTGGAATGGCTGAGGGAGGCAGGAGAGCCAGGAAAGATTCGAAGTGTCACAGAGATGGTGCCATTATTGCTGGCTTAAAGACAAGGGGCCAGGAGCCAACACCAGAGGCTACTCGACAACCCCAGCCCCAGTCAGCGAGGAAGCCGGGTGTCGCTCACACAACCAGAAGGAGCTGAGTTTGGCAACAACCCAAGTGAGCCTGAAGCAGATTCGCCCCAGAGCCTCCAGGCGTGAGTGGAGCCCAGTCCAGCGACACCTTGGTTTGGCCTGTGAGACTGAGAAGAGAGCCAGCCACACTGTGCCGTGCCTGGGGTCCACAGAGCTGCGAGGTCACACATGTACATCCTGGAAGCTGCCCAAGATGTGGCCACTTAGGGCAGCAAGAGGAGGCCATCGCGGGGACCATGCTCCCGTCTCCGGGCTCACGACTGTTCTGGAAAGGACCCCATGGCAGGCTTGGCAAGGTCTCCACTTCAGGGGCAAACATCTCCATCATCAGCAACTCCAAACCCCAGCCACCTCCTGGGAGTTCAGGAACTGTGTTTAGCCATAATGTTCCTTGGGGTTTGGTGAAAAACAACTTCCTTTTTATTTGTGAGAAAACTGTATTATATTGCCTTATTTATTTTTAATCATGTACAATATTCATGTACAAATGTTAGAGCCATTCGGGTAGGATTCTCTCTAAATTATTTATTGAAGAGGCTTTGTAAATAGTGCACCAGTTACAGGTGCTGCCTGTTTACTCGTACCAAAAATGAAGACAAGCCCCACACCCACCTCAGCCCCTGCTTGGCCATGCCGCGGCCCTTTGGAAATGACCCTGTGTGCTCCCCTCGCAACCCTTGCATGCCTTTCATGCCTGATGCCGTAGAGTAGAACACAACCCCGGAATGCTTCCAGTCACTTGCAGGGACCATGCCGGCCCGGGTGGTCCACGCCTGCGGGGTGTCTGTATCCTGCAGGAGGACGCCCCCACAGACCCAGCAACCCAAGTTGGCAGCCCGTGTTTCTCAGACTTTAAAGCCACCAGGGCTTCTGGAACACCTGTCATAGAAGCAATAACTTTATACTGTAGAGATGAGTCTGGTCTGAAGCAGATTGGTAATTTAGAGATAAGCCACGCGTGCAAGTTTGCCCCATCCTCTGGCTTGGGGTGGTGGGAGGCGGGGAGCTGCCACTCCCAAAGCCCCCACCCCTTCCCAAAGACCCAGCTCTGAAACCTCAGTTCCTGTGGGTTGGGCTGCCCGGACTGGTCCGAGCTCAGCACCCCAGGGCTGGTGAGCAGACAGAGCCGGCGTTAAACCCCGGTCAGGTCATTGTCACCACACCCTTGCTTGGATGAGGAAGGAAGGAGGCAAAGGCACCCACTCCATCCAAGATCTGTTCCGATTGATGAGTCTCAGTACTGGCCTCACACTGACCAACGGTGGTACGCTGCAGTTGGTTGGTGCAGAGTCTAAAGGATAACATATCAAGGCTTACCTGTGATAGGCCATTTTAAGGAAATGGTGGCACTCTGAAGGCTGTCCCCATTCACCTTCCACAACACTGGTACCATCCTGGTAGAAGAGTCCTCTAAACAGGACACCTGTTCAGGCCTGGGGTCCCCATGCTAGGCTTACCTGGGTGTGAGAAGGTCAAACTGGGTGGTTCAGGCCTTCAAATTGAGCTTGGGGGTGACCAAGAGAGGGGTCACATACCCCAAATAACCATTGGTGCACAAATCATTCCATGCTCTTTGGTACCAGGCAGGAGATGCTGCAGGCAGGTGCCCATAGTTGGCGAAAATGGGCAGTAGGGGAAATAGAGTTGCTTCAACCTTTCTCAGTCCTGGCCCTCACTGCACCCACCAAGTCAAGCTGAGCTGGGTGGGTTGAGACCAGCGTTCCAGCTGGACTGAACCTGTGGGGAAGAGCTGGAGCCAAGGACCCCCCTTGGGTGGGGGCCTCAGGAGCAGGGGCAGGGCCTGAGGACTGCTCCCGTGGCATGGAGGGCAGGCGAGGATGGAGCCCCGGGTAGACTTTGAAGAAGGCTCAGTGGGCTCAGCAGAAGGCAGGCTCTTATCATAGTTGTGGTTTTCTACAGATGGATTTGGGTGATCTGAGTGTGGTCAGGCCCTGCCATTGGGGAATGAATGCCACACAGGATTCGTCTGTAAGCTGCAGTGTCTGATTCTGTGTGAACTGACAGCAAGGAGTTGAAGGGCAGGCCCCGCCCTTGGGAGAGAGCACGGGCGTGGGCCGCTGGATGCAGGGCTCCCAGGGCTGTGAAGGCAGAGGGGTCCCTGGAGGCAGACAGGGCGGGCTGGGGGACAGCAGCAGGGGGCAGAGCCCCAGCCAGGGCGGCTGCTTCCTGCACGTAGACATTCTTCCCACACAGGGCCAAGTGCCCATGAACGCAGCCCCAGACAGACACACGGTGGGGAGCTTGGAGCCCTCTGCTCACCCAGGGGTGCCCTGGGGCACACACTGGAACGTGTTCTAGGGGCTTCCTGCCTTATCCTTCTGTGTGTTCATACACTTAGTGAAAGCAGATCCTGTACTAGGATGTGAGGATATCTGTCACCTCCGTGGTCCATTCCATAAACACCAGATTCAATTTCAGGTGCCACACATTTTGGGGCTAGACTTCCCTAAACAACATGCCATTATGAAATGATGCATATATTTGTATTTTTAAATTTCCCTGAAAATTTATTCTGTTCACTACCTTAAAAAATAGATACTCCACTAGAGGCCGTGCTTAATGTGTGTGCCTGCATTACGTGTGTGAACGCGTGTTTCTGTCGTGTGTGTCATGCACATCTGTGTGTTGCGTAGCATAAGCCAAATGAAAATTAATCATTTGTTCATGGGATTCATATGAGGAACAAAATTAAATTTGAATACAGTCAGACAAAACTGCCGCGCAGGGCATTTGGGGAAACCGTCCCCGAGTGCCCTGATGTGATTTCCCTCAGAAAATCCTTGCTATTAGAGGAGAAGGTCTGGGCAGGGGCAGCAGCATCTCAGACATCAAGTCAACTTTATCATCTCCTACATCAGCACTGAAGTCCAGGGGCATTGAGGCACTAACTAGGTTCCATTTTCTTTGGTTTTGTTGGTTATTTTTTTCTTTTAGGTTATCGGCGTGCACAGAGGCTGTAGAGAGAGCCTCAGGGTGGTGACGGCTGCAGGAATTCGGCCCTCCAGCTCCCCTCCAGTTACTGGGAGGCAATCTGGAGGCCAGGCCTTCCCAGCTGAGTGAGTGTCTGTCAGCTTCCGTCTCTCTCAGTTGTTGCAGTGGAAGAGCAACAGTAGACAGGTGGCCTTCTTGGGTTGTGCTTCACAATGGACTGGGAAAAACATCTTTGAACTCAGAAAATCAGGCTGGGCGCAGTGACTCATGCCTGTAATCCCAGCACTTTGGGAGGCCGAGGCAGGTGGATCATTGAGGTCAGGAGTTCAAGACCAGCCTGATCAAAATGGTGAAACCCTGTCTCTACTAAAAAAAAAAAAAAAAAAAAAAGATTAACCGGGCATGTTGGCAGGAGCCTGTAGTCCCAGCTACACAGGAGGCTACGGTGGGAGAATCGCTCGAACCCGGGAGGCGGAAGTTGCAGTGAGCCGAGATTGCGCCATTGCACTCCAACCTGGGTGACAGAGCAAGACTCTGTCTCAAAAAAAAAAAGAAAGAAGGAAGGAAGGAGGGAGGGAGGGAGGGAAGGAGAGAGAAAGAAGAAAGAAAAAGAGAGAAAAGAAAAGAAAGAAAGAAAAGAAAAGAAATCAGAAAATTGACCACAGTGGCAGCCACCTGGCCTAACGCTGTGTCTTTTGTACCTGACGGGTCACTCATTTTAGGTACAACTCCTTCATTCTTTGTGAAATTAGTGAATTTCCTTCTACCCGTCACTAGATTCAATATGTTCTATTAATACACCAATAACCACAGGGGAAGGGCGCTCATGACTCTCCCGCCTGGTTACCACAGTCTCCGTGGGCCTTTTGCTGTGACCACAAATAAAGGAAACACTCATCATTAGTATCTAAGTCGGGCTTTACAGTAACTGCACCTTCTGTGTGCTTCACCTCATTCTCTACTTCAAACAGCCCATGAAGGGAGGTACTATTATACTCCTTATGTTGACAGTGAAGAATCTGAGGCCCAGAGAGGTTAGGGACTTGAGTAAAGTCACACAGCCCTGAGAAGCAGGATCAGGGTTCCATTCCTGCTCTATCCAGTTCCAAGCCATTGTGTTTTTCATTATGTTTAGTGCCTCTTTGCTAACAGCAACATCTGCAAAATTTGTGTTGGTTTTGATGGAGAACTCTAGCTCATCCACATGCAAGGGGCCACCTCAGCAGGTGGGTTCTGAATGCAGCCAAGGCTGTCCCTGTGATGGGTGAGTTGCTCCAGCTGCCCGCCCTCAGAGCAGGTGCCCAAGTCCTCACTGGCACTGGCAGGCCTTGCCTCACATTGCTAAATTAAAGCAATGCAATTCCTTT